TTGTTGGTTTTTTTTTTGTTCAATCGACAAAATGTCTCGGAATTATGCGGTTCAAGTATTTTCAAATACATTGGGTTTGCATCATTTTCGGAAAAAGGACAGAAGTTATTTTCAAAAATTCTTCATATCCCTTTTATCAAATTGATTTTGAATGTTTTAAAATTGTTTCGAAAAATGTTCGGAAAGACCATCAATTGGTTGAACATATGTTTACTTTATAAATTTCATATCTATTAATCATATATACAATTTCCTTTATTAACATGCTCTCAATGTAAGTTTTTCATCCGTGGCGTTTTTCATTAGTTCAAGCATGTAAGAAGCATTACAAAAGTAGAATTATATAGACTAACTTAATAGAACACGTAGAAATTATGCTTTATTTTTGTTTACAGTAATATAAGCATCAAAAAGGAAATATCAAAATACTTAATTGTAAAAAGTATGCCTTATATGTTTATTATTTGTAAATATTATCATTTCTACTTAGGTGACGAAATTACTTATGAAGATTGGTTAATAGGTCAGAAAATCTGTTTCAAATCTATGGAGCATCTCTGTACGTCCAACTGCGTTATTTTAGATTTCTTTCTTCGAGGATGGAGTGATACAGATTGTGAGGAGGAATTTCATCACGCATGTGAATACGGTAAGTCCGATTTTTTTTTTCATGTGACTTTGGTCAACTGAACTTCTTCCCGCATTTGTACATGACTACTGAGGTCAGTTGTATGAAATACAGTTGATCACATTGTTCATGTACAGCTTAAGACCATTTGATTTCCGGGGAGGGGGAGGGCAGTATGATTTTGGAATTGATTAGGAAATAGATGTGAATAAAAAATAGAACAAATTTTCGCGCGAAATAATTACACCGGCCTAGCCGCGAACAGGTGAAATAACCCACGCAAATAAAAAAATCTATTTGCCCCCATTCTGCCCCACCCCAAATGAAATGGTCGTGCCCTCAAGCAAAAATCTATATATTCATAGGTTACAAGATTAGTTTATTACAAACAATCATTTAGTTTATTTATTTTTACAGACATCCCCAAACAGCAGGACAATATAAGTAATAAACCTACAACAATAGAGCCAGGGAAAGCAATAACAGTCTCCGATGCGACGAAAGGACGATCCTGCGATTGTGAAGAATGCATTGATACGGTTCTTCAGTTACAAAGCAAAGATGAAATAGCACGGAAAATCAAATCAAATTTAATGTTAGACAGAAAAACATTATCTAAGTATAAAAATACAAAAGTTAGTTTAGGAGACAAGAGGCTCTCGGCGAAAGTCTTAGGTCTTACAGGAGGAGGAGTTATCGTTACTTCTATACTCATCATTGTTGTCCCGGATTTGTATAAACTAATATGTTACATAAAAGCAAAGTGCAGAAGAAAACTCATTAGAAGGAGAAAATCAAAACACGTCGCTAAAGCAATCAGTCGTGCTGTTGATGGAGACAAATGAAGATTTTTAAGAAATGAATAAATAGAATTTTACAAAAAAAGTATTTATTTTTTTATCATTTGATTTCTTTTTTATTTCATTTTTTCATAATTCCTCAATTTTTCGCCCTACATCGAACAGATGTGAAAAAGGCATAAAAATCCAAAGACTAAACAATACGAACCCATTAAAAAAAAACTGGGATGATCTTAGGTTCTCCGTTAGGTTAAGCCGGTAGTTTTCAACTAGTGGCACCCGTAGTATTGCTCGATCATGGCAAGAACAATATCGGTGATAAGTTGCATTCGGTGATATCTTTATCGAGACGTTATTGTGGTCAATTGGAGTCAACAGATTATTATGATCAGTCTTGTATAATGCCAATGAAAAGAGTATTAAGTGAAATCATTACCATACGAATGTTTAATCTGGTGTCAACATACAAAACAAACCATTTTTCTCACTCTCGATGCATATTAGAATGTCGAATGGATACTTGGCTGGTGCGATTACTGCTGAACATCTAACTACAGGGATACATGGAATACTATACGAAAATAGCCTGTTCAACCATACATTCCTCGAGGGTTTCTTATCGTCGAGTTGCAAGTTGCGAGTTACGAAAGTCGAGTTGCGAGTTGCGAGTTACGAAGGTCGAGTTGCGAGTTACAAAAATATTATGTTTCTCTAATTCCTTAAGAATTATATATCTATAAACGGTCGTGTCGTCTGATTTTTGAAACAGAATTTTCAGGTTTACTTCGCATTTGATAAACAAAGCATACATGTACCCGAACTTAGTTATACACTGCATGAGGATTGGTCCCGGTATTTCGATTGCAGGATTTGAATGAGTTATGTTATACTTAATTAATTATAAGAGTCTACATGTTGCAAATTCACGCCTGCTTAAATTTCTTTCAAGAGAGCGACATTGTTCATTTTCTAAAATAAAACAGGATATACTGCAGATATAAGACAAATGTATACCGTACTGAACAAATCAATCATAATAAAATAAATCATGTAGACAAATGAAATATACTTGCAAATCATCGACATCTCACAGAATATGGCACTGTGTAAGGCCTAAAGTAAATACTTGGGGGTAATTTTGGGGTCCCTAACAAATATTGCTTCTGCAGCTGCCCCAAAGCGCACACTCTTAACGAAATCTGCAGAAGGGGTCTTTTACATATATGTTCTATAGTTTAGTTGCTATCTCCCTTTACGTTTAATATTACGGTGTTAGCTATGAAATTTATTAATAATTAAACTACAAGCCATCCGCTGTATTTCAAAAGGCTATCTGTTTCTTCAGAAAATAATATACTTTGCGTAGTGATTATGTAAGCAATCCATTCATGTTTTTTACACGGGACTCAGATGAAGTCCAAACAACAAAAAGAATCAACAATACTGTATACAATTCTACAAGCAATTATCATTCAAAAATGTTAAAGGGGTACACCAAACAATTTAAATAGTTTTCCCCATTTTCACGCAAATCTAATTTCGTAACTCGCAACTCGTCTTTCGTAACTAGCAACTCGACCACCGTAACTCGCAATTCGACCATCGTAACTCGCAACTCGACATTCGTAACTCGCAACTCAACCGTCGTAACTCGATACTCGACAACAAGTGAATCTCACATTCCTCGCTGTGTTTGCTGTTCAGGGTTTGCGGAGGAGAAAAATAGGCCAACTTGTATAGGTCAAATAGAAGAGAACATCTAGTGATGTTTATATATGTGCCTGTGTAGTTTAAAGGGTTAACAATACATAGACTCGTTAAAATGTATCAGAATTTCAGTTGTATCTTAGACCAGACGCCATCGGATGACCTCCGAAGAACGCTGATGATCTCTGACATGCTATAAACATAAATCACAGACAAGCACGTGCACTCGTATCACTTTTGTAGGTCTGTTTAATTTCATGCCGTTGAATAAAACAAATATGCAAATCGTCGTTTTCACCAGTATAAGAAAGGTTGTTGTGGATTGAATCAGTCACTTTTCAATGTTGACTCTCTTTTCTTTTTTTATAGCTGCACCTGTCCCACGTACGGAGCATGTATTTCAGTGGACGTCGTTGGTTTGTGTCTGTCATATTTGTTTTTTTGTAAATAGTTTTGTTATAAATTAGGTCGTTAGTTTGAATTATTTTACATTTTTCATGTCAGATCCTTTTATAGCCGACTATACGGTATGGACTTTTCTCATTGTTGAGGGCCGGACGGTGGCCTATAATTGCTTACATCCACTTCGATGAACTCTGGTGGATAGTTTTCTCATTGGCAATTATACCATATCTCCTTATTCTTATATTAGACATATGCTTAACCCATCTCTAGCTAAGGATCAAAATGAACGATGAACGAAAACGGATTCAAATGAGGTTCAATAATTGACCTGCAAACCAACAGTACATCAACCATGTTTTTGAGCTAATTTCGATAAAACTGAACCAAACTGGTTGCTAATAGCGAAATATTATTTCATATTTCATAATTCCGCCTTTATAACAGCATTAAACAATACATTTGATTTGTTCAAATCGTAGCTAGATGTAAGACGACTTACGACACATTTCGATACACTTTCTACTCTCTTGCATCAACATGGTTATACTGCTTTTGCGGCAGAGCATAATGATTTAACAAAATGTTTCCAAATGCAAAACAACAACAAAAAGTATTTTCAAAAGAAAATTGATAATGCATGTAAAGGCTTTCATGGTTTGAAAGAGTGAACAAACTAAGAAATTAAACATATTTTAAGTGATTTGAACTAAACTTCAATGCGACTTCAACAGACCTAAACATCTCAATCAGAGAGACGATCCCAATACGGTCTTTATCGACTGGTAAGCGTTCTAGGAACCAGTTGTTTATGCATTAATCCTGAAGTATATGTATCAGTGGCGGATCCAGAAATTTTCATAAAGGAGGGGGGGGGGGGGGGTTGGCACTGACTGCCTAAGAGGGGCCCCGCTTCAGTCATGCTTCAGTAATTCCCTAAATAATGAAAATAAATCAAGATGAGATGGGGTTAAACAGGTTTTTCAAAAACTTACCTGAATTAATAAGATCCAAATATATAGAACAAACAAAAATCATTGCAAGATGAATGAGGGCTTTCGGTAAATACTGTGTACATTGTGTATGTTAATAATGAATATCTCTTACTACGACAAAAATCATTAAGTCAAAACAAATTAAAACAATAACATTAGTTATGTTGTGCAAAAAAAGAAGTAATCAATTACCCCACCCTCCCCCTTTTTTTCCCAAAAAAGAGAAAATAATAAAATACAAAATTACTAAAAATGCAAGCTATTTATAAAAAAACAGAATTAAAACGTACAGTTCCGTTTCCACACCGTGTTTATACATACATGACTTTGTATACAGATAATTTTTCGACACATTTCTATCTTTTATTTACTAGTACCTTATATAGGCGTTATATACATCACGTGAGGTTATACACATTAAATAATCAATTTTATATTATATGTATTTACCTGGTATAGGCGTTAAATGCATATACATCACGTGAAGTTGTACACATTTCATTTTACTTCCTCTTGATAAACATAACCTAGGTTTGTACAACAAAACAATTTCTTACCTATTTTACTATTTATTTTTTTTTTTACGATGAACTTATTATGCTTTACGTACCTGCTACATGTTCGTTAAATCCTATTAATGGTATACGGTGGCAGAATAGGGTCATGCAAAGAATGTTTTTTTCACTTTCCACAACATAGTTTCTTGTTCCTACAAGAAGGGTTTCTTGTTAACTCTAGCTATATTTATTATGGGCCTACTGGAAGCTTCGTAAAATATCCAGGTCGCAACAAATGTATCAAGTGTTTATTTACTAGCACTAGTTCGATACCGCTGCTGGTGCAGTGCTAGTTCCCGAAGGAATCATTACTCATCTGCCAATGTTTGGCCTTTTACATTTCTTAAATTTTCCAGAAAATAATTTTCTAAAATTATTAAGAAACTAAGGCACCGATACCCTCATTGTATGGTCCATTTTTATCATATTGCTTTTTCATTATGTATACATGCCCAATGGAAGTTTGGTAAAATAGGGAAAACCAACGACCTGATTTATGCTAAAACATAAACGAAAAACAAAAATGAAAGACAGCAACTAACACCCGCTGCACTTTGGACATGCATATACAGAATGAGGCGGGGTTTAACATGTTTCCGAGCGCTCACCCACCCTAACATGGAACAGTTGTGTAACTGCACAACATAAGAACGAACTGTAAAAATCAGTTGGAAAGGACTTAACTCATCAGAGCTGCACGAAACACAAAAAAAAACTATCAAAAAGACAAAAAGTCAAAAGACACCAAGTACTCGCAGCTACTAAAATATAGTTCAAATTCAATTACAACTAATAGACAAATCATATTTTCACAGACTGAAATATCAATCATGTTTTACTATCGACATTCGTGGTATCTGTTGTGCCTCGGTCGCCGAGTGGTCTAAGTAGTCAAACTACTGTATCACTAGCCTGTCAACACTGCGTTCGACTCCAATCTTAATTGACTAGGATTGTAAGTTTTCCTACCGAAGGTCGGTGGTTCTCTCCTGGCACCCCGGCTTCCTCTACCAATAAAAACTGACCGCCACGAGATAGTACAATAGTGCTGAATCATGGTACTTGTAAAACATAATGAAATAACGTTGCACTATTTTTCAAAGTTATATCAATCATGATCATCCTCTTCATTGAACAGTAGCTGGACTTTGATCAGAATATTCGTACTTCAACTACCAAGTCATATATTTATATAAAAAATAGTTCTTCTTACACCATAATAGCTCATCAATTCAGAAAGTCCAGTGTGAACTACGATTCTGTTATCCAGAAAAGTCTGCTTGTGTTTATTTTAAAAGTTCCTCCATGAAATCATTAGGATATAATAAACCAAACTTGATCTTAACATCATTATATCTTCTATGCTACAGAATATACGCAGAACAATTGTGTGAGGGTTGGTATATGGTCCTAATTTTGCAAATTGATGCAAAATTCGGCATAACGATAAACGCCCGCTTGATATAAAAAAAAAGCTGCTTCATAAGCACCCTATATGCCATTACTAGTTATTTCGACATTTTAAATCAGGTTGCTTGTGAAGAAAATTATAAATTGATAAGAAGGTACTATGCACACGAAAATTGTCATCCAATTTCATACGATGTCATTGAGTTATTTATAAAAAAATGCTCTGCACTAGACAAACCAAAACGTTAACGCTTATTGATAGGAATAAAAATGCCCTGCAACTTGCAATCTACATGTTCAGACTTCTCAAATTACTATTTAACTAATGTGCAGAGATCGCGGCCCTTTCGCTAAACAGGGCTTCCTTATTCTGAACGGTCGTGGCTGTGGATAATTATACATCCTGCACAGCCAAATGGACTTCCCTTGCATAGGAGTGGTACCAGTCAGACTGAGAAACTGATATCAATTTCTACATGCCAGGGTAACCTCTGATGAACGTCAAAATCTAAAAGGAGCTATTTTGTATGACAGTTTTTTTTTTAAATGTTGCTATTCCCTTATTTAGCAAACCAGTGTAATAAGGAAACATGATCAAAAAGTCATCGAATTTTTAACCATTGAACTCAAATACTCCTAGAGCAATTATTAAAGTGAAATCTGAATTTCTTTATCAAAATGGAGATATCCTTACATCCACGTTATTTTTATTGTATTTTAAAATTTCTTTAAATATAAAGGAGAACATTTGAATTCTTGAACAGACAAGACGGTCAACAGTTTCTCATAACACGTTGCACTGAAAGTATTCCCCTTTCACCTTAAGTTTCCCCATTTTATATTGTTTTTCATAAGCTAATAAACCCAAGGTTTTGAAAAGAGCATATATCTTTATCCAAACTTGAAAGAGGTCTAACAAAAATGATGTGCTACCCTATTCACACGCATACAAATTTAAAAGAAAAAGTTTGTTCTAATAATTAAACTGGTTTTGTCAGCTATCAAACAACTATTTTCCATTCGTTTGATGACTGTGTTTGAGCTATTGATTTTTGCATTTTATAAGGGACTTTCCGATTTGAATTTTTCTTGGAGTTCTGTATTTTTGTTGTTTTGCTTTTTTTTTTAGATAAGCCAGAGAGTTCACTATATTATTTTTAATATTTCAGAAGATGGCGTCAAATTCTGAATGTGGACCCTGTTCTAGGAAAAATGTATCATCCTCGGCCAATAAATATTGCACCGATTGTGATGACCCATTTTGTTATGATTGCATTACTGCTCATAATACTTTCAAGCCCTTCGCAACCCATCATCTTATCGACATTTCGGCGATTCATGGCGTAATGAACATGAATGAAAACAAGCACTGCTCTACACACCCAAAAATGGAACTCGATTTGTACTGTGGCGATCATGACGTTGTCTGTTGTCGAAGTTGCATGCTGGAAAATCATCAAACTTGTAAGAAACTAGCGGACATTCACGTTGTTTCTAAAAATGTGAAAGATTCAACAATGTATGACCATTTCGTACGAGACTTGGGAATTTTGGTCGATAACGCTGATATATTTCTTAAAGACAGAGAATCGGTTGTTGAGGTTGTCAAAAAAGATAAAGTTTCAAATTTACAAGCTGTTGCTAAATTCAAATCTGAAATTGTAGATAGAATTAACGAATTAGAAGCAAAACTTAAAACTGATATCGAATCGGATTACAAGAAAAACCGTAACAAAGTAGAAAACGAGAAAGAAAAATTGTCTAGCATTAAAAAATTTACAAGTAATTTAGAATCACGACTAACTTTTGTAACTAAACATGGGTCTGATAATCATATTTTTCTATTTGTTAATGTGATGAAGAACGAGTTGTCGACAAAAGAAAATTTTATGCAAGAATTTACGTCTTCTCTTGAAACACCCGAATCGACATTTAAAGAAAGCCCAAATTTATTGAAATCATTGGAATCTATTGGAACTGTATCAACGAAGTTAAGTTCGTGTGTTGCTAGATACAATAAAGCTGTAAATCACCAAATCCAAGTGCCTGTGGTTTCATCCAAACTAAAACTGGTGAGAGATACAGAGGCTACAGCAGAGATAAAGCAGATAGAGAGAGAAGATATACATATATCCAGTATACTTTGTACTAAAGATAATAGATTTCTATTATGTAATTGGAAAGGACAAAAGCTGTTGGTTTGTAATGATAGAGGAAAATACTTACAAACATGTAAACTGCATGGCAATCCGTGGGATATTACAAGTATTCCAGGCTCAAATACTGCAATCGTTTCCTTGAGAACGTCCAACGGTTTACAATTTATAGAGACAGGCTCTGCATGCATTAAAGGTGGTAAGTTCGTTTATATCGGCGAACTGTGTTATGGTGTCGCTGCATCTATATCGACGATTTTTGTTGGGGGCAAAGGAAAAGTTATAGAATTCAACATGGAAGGTCGGCGTGTTAATACGTTTAAAGTAGGTAGCGAAATGCTTCACTATCTACATCTTGATGCGAATAATAGAAGACTTTACTGTTCTGACACTCAATCCGATAAAATTTACTGTATAAATGTTGACGGCACCGCAATATTTTGCATTGATAATTTAGAAGTTGCGCCGGTAGACATAACAACTGACTTTCATAGAAATGTGTATGTTGTTGGACTCGGATCTCATGATGTGCATCGTTTTACAGACAATGGACAAAATCGAGAACTACTTTTAGACGAGAAAGATGGAATGTTTAAGCCTTATGCGCTCGCCTTTAATGTTGATTACAGCAAACTTGTTCTTTCAAATAATGCTGGCACCGAATTGATATTTTTTTATTTGAAATAAATAATTATTCTTAATGCTGTATTCAATGTTGGTTGAATTTCTATGCTAAAACGCCGAATTTTGATACCTTGCTACGTTATAGTTAATTTCATAGTATTTGATATAATTGCATGTCGTTGAGCTTATTAATAATATCTTAATAACCTATAAATGTACTTGATTGGCAAAGGTTCATAATCAATCAAATTTTGTCACGATTAAAATGGGTGTAGAGAAGGACCACAACATATACAGACACAAGTTGATAATTTGTTGGTGATGAATTATTACAAATTCAAGTGAAGTGAAAATAATCAAAATCTATGGAACGCCGTAGCTGCCTGATGTGAACATATGTTTATATATGCACATACTTTTCAATATATGCACATACTTTTTCTATATATAATGGTTTACTTTTATAAATTTTGACTTGGATGGAGAGTTGTCTCATTGGCACTCATACCACATCTTCTTATATCTACATACTTTTTCAATATGAAAACCCGAGCCCAAAATCAATAATCTAATCACACGGTTATATTCAGCATATCAAAGAAACCTCAAGAATTCATTGAAATTGGTCAAGAAATAAGCAATTTATACAAAGTATTAGAAAGGTGTTGTTTGTTAACCCTTTTTGTCCCCTTATTCTTAAACGATTAAGACAATTACCCCCAAAATATATCCCAACCTTCTTTTTTTGGTATGGAACCTTGTGGTACATATTCATAGAGATCCATACTCTTATACACACGTCATTGTCCTGAAACAAGAAAAATGCTTGTCTTGGCCCCTAATTCCAAAACAGTTAAGACAATAACCCCATAAAATCATCCCAAACTTTCTTTTTGTGGTATGGACCCTTGTGGTACAATTTGATAGAGATCCATACACTTATACTCAAAATATTGTCTTGAAAACAAAATGTCTCCGGACGACGACGACCCATTATACGGCCGCAAATTTTTGCGGTCGTTTAAAGAATTAGATACCCCCTTTCTATTCCAAACATTTTCAAGCCCCCCTCCCTTTTCAGGTTACAAATGACCGGTCCCTTACAGTAGTTATAACCCTTCCAATGTCCGATTTTTGTCCATTTTTTACAAATATCTTGAGGAAAGTAATATCTAAATAGAAACTTGAACAACTAAAATGATCAGCAAGGCTAAATTTACAAAAAATGAACATACTTGAAATTTGTGTATCTAATAGAAGAAACTGCCCCTAATTAGGAAAGACATTTTCAATGAAAAGAAACGATTTTGTTTGCTTCCCTTCTGAAACAAATAATGTCTTTTTTCAAGAAATTTGGAATCAAACTTTAAAAAAAAAACATGCCTTCCCCCCCACCACCACCACCAAAATAAAATGATGAAAGGTCGGTACATTAGCACTGTTTTCAAGTCGATGCCTTTAGTCTGGAGGTGTATATATGAGCAGCTTCCCACGAAACCTTTTATGTTTCGGGTTAGTACTGTCTATTTGAAGCTGTAAAAGAATGCGCGAAAACGTAATAAAAAGTTGCGCGCAAATGTTATGCACCGAGTTTAAGTTCATCCTATATCATGTATATCTCCTTTCCTTTTTACCGGGGGGCCTCGGTGGCCGAGTGGTCTAAGTAATCGAACTACTGTGTCACTAGCCTGTCAACAATAAGGTTGTGCGTTCGAATCCCGCACGTGGCAGGTACGGTACGCTCGACTCCCATCTTAATTGACTAGAATTGTCAGTTTTCCTACCGAAGGTAGATGGTTGAACTTCTCTCATGGCAATCTGGCTTCCTCCGCCAATAAAAACTGACCGCCACGAAATAGTACGATAGTGTTGAAAGTGGCGTTAAAGACCAATCAATTATTCAATCAATCATCCATACCGGTATAATAATGCATGAGCAGAAATTTGTTTAGCTATTGTTATGAAATACTTTTTTACAGTGACTGAATTTAATTGGTATAGGAAATGAATTAAGATAAAGCGGCAATTCAAAAGGAGGGAATAAATATACCGGTATTGCTGTATTTTGCAGTAAAAAGTGTTTAATCATATTTTCGACACAACAGGGAAATTTGTCAACTAGCTCCTGTATTAATGGATCTAAATCTTCCTCCGAAATGTTTGAAACGTTGATTTTCTCGTTTTTTCTATACATTGCACTGTTGGTAAAGTATCATATTAATTTTAATTCTAATATTGAAAAACTATGTTCATATAGAAAAAAGTATGCAGATGAAGAAATATGTTCATATGTAGAATAAGTATGTGGCTGCATATATAGAAAAACTATGTGCATATATAAACATATGTTCACATTAGGCAGCTACGGCGTTTCATAAAAATCGTGGAGTGAGAAAAGTAAGTACATGTATCTTCTCCCTGATTTTCACGCATTACACATCATGTGACTGAAAAGTTATGTCATGACAAAATTAGAGTGGACATATGGATTTAGGTGACAGAAAATGTTGTTTATCTACTAATTCATGAAGCTGACCTTAGAAGTTTTCCAATGTTCACATGTTTTTGGCTCACTCGCAGCGTCAATGACGCACTTTTCATAAATCATAGTCGAATTTGAATGATGTATTCAAATAAAATGCCCGTATGTTTTAGAAATAAGCGTAAAATAAATATGGTCTTCAATCCTACATATTGCTGTTGAAGATCTTTACTCAAATTTTTACTAATAATTTGGGATTTTGAACAAACTATAATCAAGAATTACGAGACAATATTGTAAAAACTGCACACATGAAATTGTGGTACTATGAATTGGAGACAAGAACTTTTTTCAATGATACGTAAACAGGATAACAAGAACTACCAAAAATATAAGACATTACAATACACATCACCAATCACAAACACCCGACTGCTTTAAAGAAAACATACGTACAAACAAAGACGAACAATAAAGAGCGACACAGACCCCGTTTGTAAAATAAATACTATCGTGCAGGAACATTTTATCCTTTCTCCATGCGCCTTAAAACATACATACACATTGTGCTGTTTTGCTCTAACAAAGACAAATACTTATTCTTTTCGCTGTTAAAATCGATATATATTTACTTATTTGTTGCAATACATTTTTAGCTCTGTTTTGTAATTGGAGGGAAATCCACGTTTTTAAAAGTCTTGAAAAAGAGGCAAATATGCCAAGGGGACATTCAATCTCAAGTCGAGACAATAACAACGCCATGGCAAAAAAAAAGACATCGAAAAGACAAACAAGTTAACAAAACACTAGAAAACTAAAGACTGAGCAATACGAACCTCACCAAAAACTGGGGGTTATCTCAGATGCCCAGGTACGGTAAGCAAATCCTACTATACTAGTGGCACCCTTCGTGCTGCTCATGGTAAGTACAAATTCAGTGACGTCACAGTCGAGAAATAGATAACGGGATTGTTGTAACGACAATAGGAACAAGCCCGTGGTTAACTGTGACACAGATATTCCCTACCGGTTAAACAACACGTGATGGCGTCCGTAAAATGTTCGACGTTTTCATTCAAGTAAAGGTAGATTCCTGAAAATTTCTAAACGTTTCAATTATGCGAAACTTCCAATGCCTATTATCGACTTGTGGGAATATATTAACTCGTAGTAATTCTCTGTTTTGTGATACTTCTACCATTGGGCGATCTTTCTTCTAACACTATTATTCTTTCAAAGGGACCATTAATTGTGGAAGGGTTAATTTAGGTCGATACACTATGGCCAATCCGAATCTTCAATAACATGATCGCGGTGACAACATACATATGGCTGCGACATAATTTTCTCTATTTTCTTTTTTTTCTTTTCTGTTTTTTTCGTAAAACGTTATAAAGTTGTAAACGATTTCCCATAAAATTGTATATATACGGAGTGTATTATTTTCAACAAAGTTGTATATCAGGTTACCGAAAGCTATGGTGATAAGTAAAACAAAAATTGCAAAATCCACTTGTTAAAAGTAAATAACTTTCATGAACTCATCAGGTAGTACCTGCCTCATATTATTGTTTAATGGCAATACAATACTAATTTGAATCTCGGTCTAATAGATATGTATGTCATATCTATTGGTTCTAGATTGAAACGAATTGAAATAAAATGATATGCACTGAACATGCTGAATAACAATCAAAGTACTGAAGTACTGAACATCGGATGACCACAAGTTCTTGAGGATGGTCAAAAGCACTTGTCTCAGAAAAAACAACATATCTCTTTACCTGAAACTGAGGTTAATGTACAGAGATATATTTTTTTCTGAGACAAGTTCGTGCGTGGATGATGAATAAATGACAGGAAATTCAACTTCACCGTAATAACTATTATATTGTAGTGATACAAATCAGTATACATGGTGGACACTTTTCTGTAAAAATTCGATTTTTCTAAGATTGGATACGAGTAGGCATTCATATTTTCCCGCAAAAACAATTACAGAGTTACCGGTCCTCGCAAAAAGTTCTCTGAGATATTCTTCCGCATGCTTTAACACAATTTTTCGGTACGTCTGCATTGATATTATCAATGATTTTTTACTTATATATATATATATCTAACTACAAAACATTTTCATATTATTAATTTATGTTGTAAACAAAAATATTTTTATCAGTATTCATTGAAGAGATGTATTTATATCAAACGATAAGGAATGTTATTTTGCATTCGTTTATGTGCGCATATTTATCATGTTTATAGATCGGTTACAAACCCAAAACTAATTTACATAATGGAAATCTAGGCGATAGCAATACATCTGAATGACCCCAAGGTCATCGCGATGTAAAAATGCTTTTATACTCGTTTTTCAATTTGATGATTATACTTTTTGATTTTCGTATTTAACCCTCTTGCTGCCAGAACCAAATCTCAAACGACGTTACGTGCTTCGCATTTGAATAATTGACATTTTCGAAAATTCTTTGTCTAATTGGATGTTTACATAGTAAAGTAAATGCACACACAAAATATTACATACCAGAGTTGGAAGTACAGTTATAATTATTGTAATCATTGTATACTACAGAAGTTATACTAT